TTCCTGCTGGTCAAACACTTACTGGGCAGATATCCATCCATCCATTATCTATACCGCTTATTCCTGAATAGGGTCATGGGGGTGCTGGAGCCGATCCCAGCTGACACTGGGTGAGAGGCGAGACGTTTTTTGGAATGTAGCTTATGCATACTGTATATCCACAGTGACGTAGCCTCATGTGGGCTCTGTTTTGCTATATTACTTATTTTCACCCAATATGTATTATATTTACCTTAAAATTCCAGTGGGTTTAGCACAAAAGTAACAGGATCAGGATGAGACAAGAAGAAATAAACTGGGATCAAACTGGATGGGAATAAAAAAAACTAAACATTTATTTTCTACCTAAAAAAATCAGGAAGACTGATTGCAGATGCACCTAGTAATGACTGATTAGACAGATGTGAAAGTAAAGCAGACAGGTGTGTGTAACATGTTCTGTATTAAAAGGCTTTCAGATCATATAGACAGAAACCGCAATTTCCTAGCATTTTCGTTTATTAACCTGTTTAAGGTTTTCATAATGTCTAAAAAGTCACGATGACGATGGTGAGATCAGTTTTAACAATGACATTATTATACACACTTCCTTTAGTATGGGTTCTTCAGTGTGTGAGTCATGATGGTCATCAGAGCGCGCCAAGTCTCCTCAGCGGTGGGGATGATCTGACTGGCTGGCAGGATGAAGCCGTAGCGGCCGTTGTCTCTCAGCTCGAAGGTGTAGGAGTACTTGATGCCCTGGTTGTAGGTCCAGTCAATGGTGCCACCACTGGCTTGGTCTACAGATGAAACACATACTGGTCAGAGGAATATTCCTCAAGTGTAAAATACAGGTTTTCATGTGGCAGCAATAATAGAGGTCCCCTGCTCATAGACAGCATTAATTCTGATTATCTCAGATGGAGAAAAAGAAAAGAATCTGTTTTTAACCCCAATGGCTAATACCTCTACTACAGCAAATAGTGCTGAAAATAACAAGAATAGAATATTATAACTCCTAGTGAAAACTATGGAACCATCTACAGTATGTTGCTGAAACTCACAGATTGTGTTGATGATGCTGCCATATCTGTAGCTAGTACCGTACAGGGAAGCCAGGTCAGTGATGGCCTGTTTAGCCAGACTGTGCTGTAGAAAGACATCATATGATTATTCATTCATAGTTGCATAATTTCTTGCATCACAAGCAAATATTTTATGGACAAAAAAACAGCAGAACCCAGAGAAGATATTTAACAGCTACAATCAGTTCCCCCAGGTTGATCTTGAACAATAAAAGAGTTCTGAATAAAAAAAAAGTCAGCCAGTATCAAGTGTGTTTTACCAGCTCGGCCTGGTCCTTGACTGGAGTGCTGGTGTAGCCATAAGGGTACATGAGCATCTGAGAGTAGGAATGAATAGAGATGAAGGCCTTGAAGTTGCCATGGGACTTCACAAAGTCCACAATGGACTTGACCTCAGACTCGGAGTGAGCCTTGGGTCCACGGTAGGTCTCAGAGCAGGGACTGCTGCTGGCACCGGGTCCTAACGTCATGACAACAGAGTCAAAGAAAAGCTTCTTCTGAATTAAGATTACTGTGATCACAGGGCATAAAAAAAGCTGAGGTCACTAAGAATATATTAATACTCATGGTACAATGGTCGCCACAAAGTGCATACATGTCCTGTTATGTAACTTGTAAATGTGTGGCCATTTTTGCCAGGACTTTCTTGATCAAAAAGAAAAACATTTCTATCTTGCTTCTCTCCATCTTCAACAATAGAACTGAGGTGAATATTCATTTTTTTCAAACCTGTAATAAAATGCTGAAGTCATAAATTATTACATTATACTGTAGGTTTGGAAGCTAAACAATAACAGCTGAGAAAGGCATTTGGCACTATAATCTAGTGATAAGGGAAAGGCATTACCTCCAAAACCAGCATCCCAGTTTCTGTTAGGGTCGACTCCGGCACAGCTCGAGCCAGGGTTGGGCTTCCTGGTCTTACGCCACATTCGGTTCTGGAAAAAAGCAACTCATCCCAGTTTGTTTTAATTTCGATTATATATGAATGAATGCAGAATGGAGAAATGGCTGTTAGCTCAGCTGGTAAAAAAGTCTTGCTTTGAGAAACTCACGCTGGTGTGGGTGTAGGCGAAACCATCAGGGTTGGTCACAATCTCCAGGAAGATGTCTATATTGTTGAGGATGGCAGTCAGAGCGGGGTCTTGTCCATATTCAGTCACTATCTGATGACAGAATTGGAAAGGAGATTATATTTACCATAGCAGGTTGGAGGCCAGAAGCTGCAGAGACAGAAGAAAAATAATTATTAAAGCACCTTCTTGGCAAACCAGGTGCCGCTGGCCTGAGTGACCCACTCTCTGGAGTGGATCCCAGTGTCGATCCAGATGGCGGGACGGTTGGTTCCACCGGTGCTGAACTAAGACAAAGGAAAGAAAAGGAACGGTTACACAAAATTCCAGGCAAGGAATACACAACTTAACATACTTTAAATGGTGTATGATCTATTGTATTGAGAAATGATATCAAATCTGAAAAGGTGTTTCCATTCTCAGCCTGACTGGGATGAGTTAGAGCCTGTCACTTCCTCCAACATGAAGAAATAGCTTCATTTTATCAAGTGAGTGTTTTACTTACTTGCTATGCTTTGTACAACACAGTCATTTGTTTCATTTAGGATCATTCAGAGCAAGTGTGATCATTTGTATTTCATTTTGTGATGGATTTGGACTTACCTTGAGCACATTCAGAGGACGGCCCTCGTAGCTCTGACCGATCACTATCTTGCTGACCAGGTTGGGATTCTCAGCCACCAGCATGTCCTGGAAGCTGTAGATCTAAACCACAAACAAAATCCTGGTTTTGATCATGATATTAAATTGAACCCATTTAATAAAAGTTAATAATGCTGTTACTGAATAACAGCTGCCAGAGCGAGTGCACGTACTAACCTCACTGATGGTGTGATACCTGGAGAAGTCAAAGTTGTCAGTGTTTCTGGGCTCAGTGACACGAGTAGCCATCGACATCTGCTCCTCTTCCAGCAGCACCTGAAGACCACTGATATTATTAGGCATTGGATAAAGCAAAGTCAGCATTGAGCTTTAGCCTAAAATCAACTAAAAGCCTCAGGCTGAGAGATCAGGCTGTCTGCAGGTCTCATACCTGCAGGTCTTCAATCATTATGGAGTACTCGATGTCCTGAGTCTCCAGGTAAATTTTGACAGACTGCAGGTTGTGGATGGGAACTCTGACATCCACGGGAATGGCCACATCAGTCACGCCTCTCCAGAAGTCCAGCTGAAAGACAACACAGATGTCATACAACAAATTAAGGCATTTTTCAATTAATTATTTCTGTAAATTATTGCATTTTTAAATTACCTCAAACTCAATTATGTCCTCTAGGTCCTTGATAAGAGATAGCTGGACATCATCCTTTGGAACAATGCGAAGCACCTGGTGCCTGCAAAAGGAAAACCACAATGTTTTACAACTTTTACTCAACTCAGACACCAAAACCAACAGAGAAGTTGGCACATATGTTTTGAAGGAAGATTTCTCAAGGCTGACCAGTTGTGTTTATGCAGAGTGAGTAAAGCACTACCAAGGGTTTGATTCCCAGTATTGTTTTTTATCTACTGTTTAAAGCCAAATTAGGTATTTTTAAACTTTGGTGGCCTTAAAGGGCAACATTAACTCAAAACTATGGAGTATCTTAATGACTATATAAACTCAAAAAAAGCTATTGTAATTATAAGTAATTACATGTGCAAAATGATGTTAGAGCCATTGGTGTGAGTTGGCACCACAGATGGCTGCCTCGGTTTTGTACCGCAAACACATTCCTTGTGTGTGTAACATACTTGGCCAAATAAAGGTGACTGTTATGATTATTATTCATTATTCAGATAAACTACACCCAAATGAACCAAAGTTCCAAAAATATCAGTGGCAACGGTCACCACAAAGTGTCTGTTCAAAACAGAAGAGTTTTAAACTCTCAGGAGAATCCAAACACACCAAATATGTTGGGCTGAATTTTCAGTCAGTGTAAAAATGATGCACAAAACACGTAGAATATTACAATATAACACGACGTTCTAGCCATAAAAATGAAGGAGTTTTGGATGTGAACAGTGTAAGCCTGTTATGGGTTTCAGCAAGCTGTTACAGAATATATAATATTATCACATACAGCTGAAGAATTAACAACCTTAAAGCTACTTAAGGGGAAATAAAAGGAGGAAACTGTACAGGTATCTGGACCATTTATGTTGGAAGGCACCAACTTCATACATTCAATTACATAAGGGACACTTACCCCTCAAATGTCTTCTTGCCAAGAACAGCCACAACCAGTGCAGCAAATATGAGCAGCCCCTTCATTATGACCAGCAGTGTGAACCTGGCAGGGGCAAACACTGGCCTTTATATTTGAATGTGCCAAGTCACGTGTCCAAACCACGACCTTGCTTAAGATGATGGAGGTGTGTCAGCGCCTGGTCTTTTTCCCACATGGGCCTGGAAATATCAGACCAAACTTTGTACCATGCACCTCTATGTTTTGACACAGAGAAGTAATTTTGTACAAAACAATATAACTATATAACTATAACTATATAAAATGGTGAAATCCTCCCATTTGACAAGCTGACCAAGGAAAATGCTTTATAATTTTGTTTGGTAAATGATTTGAACAATGAATTGATGATAACAGTTTATTCATTTCAGTAACATATTCAACTTCTTGTTTCAGTAATAGAAACTGTCATCACTCCTTTAGAAATGTTTGCTTTACCAAACAAGGGTCTACACTTTGTATATGTCTAATAAAATCACATTTTCATTGAGATACTATGTGCTGTTAAAAGGAATATTGCAACCTTTTGGGAACTGAGGTTAATTGCTTTCTTGTCAGGAGTGGAACTGGAAGATGAGACAGCAGCTGGTTAGCTTAGCTTAGCATAAAGACTGGAAACAGGAAGCTGCTGCAGCATCCCTGGCTTTGCAGGAGCCTTGTTTTTGTCGTGTGGTTGCCAGTCAACCAGGGGAGGCTCCATGAAGTCACTGCACCCAGCTAAGAAACGATCCATCACCCCTTATAAAACCACAACATGTATCTTTTACACTTTGGTTTTTGATTAAACAAACAAGATGCGACATATTTGTTTGTGAAGTTTAGAAGTGCTGGTAGGCAAATTCTGTTTTCTTTGCAGAGAGCCAGGTGAGCTGTTTCCCCAAGTTCCCGGTCTTTATGCCAAGCTGAGCTAACTGGCTGCTGGCAGTAGCTTCATCTTTATCACAGAAATGTGATCGTGACATTGAGCTTTTCTTCCAATACTCACGAAGAAAGCAAATGTGTTCTTTGCAGTAAATAGTTTTCTTATTTGTGCAATGACTTTTAAAGACCTACCTTAAATTTGCCCTGTTTTATGTCAGAACATTAGCTGCTGCATGTGGCTTAGTTCAACATTTGCTCATTACTTCATTTGGCATGAAGTATGTAGCAATTTAAATTCCGTTTACAAGATAGAGTTTGTTTCAGCTTCCTTTTTGTTACATCTGGGGCAACACTGCACTTGGACAGATTTCGCGAGCTAAATTTTGCTGGGTATGGTCATCGAAAGCGGTTAGATATAGAGCAGTAGACATCAGATAACATGTTTAGATACTACTAACACTAGGTTCACCTTCTTATCCCCTCACCTCCAAATACTGATGACACATTGAGCATGGAATCATTTAAAGCCAGTTTGCCTGATAGTAAAGCATTTCTTGACATTACTCATTAATATGACCTCTTTCCTATGTACATGTCCTAGAATGTGCGAGTTTGTCTTATGCAACTGAGCTGATAAGGACGTTTCAGAGGAAAAGTAAAGAGATAGAACTCGAGTCAGAGTCCAGTGTGGAAAACACCTGCTGGAGGGTTTCTGATTCACAGCAACTTACAGTAAGGCAGACAGTGTGCTGGTCCACATCCATGTGTCCTGCTAAAGTCCCCTTGAGGAAGATACAAGGCTCCTACCTGCTCAGTTTAGGCATCTCAGAAGGCATCAACTAAGTGCTTAAAAAACTGGCTTGTCTAACTTCTGTTTACAGCTCAGTGAAAAAGCATTTTGAGAGTGTACTTCCTTATCTTGATGTATAATTTTTTTGCTGAAACATGCAGTCGCAGCCTAATTGTAGCATGGGAGGGCAGAATGGAAATAAGTTCTATTTACAAACAGTGACAAGTTTACTCCCCTGAGTAAATGAGCGGTCTCCTCCAGGGTGACAGTGCCTCCATCCACGGGACACAATTGGTCACTGACTGGTCTGATGAGGATGACCATGATGTGTTCCTTTTACACATACAAGACCGTCCCCTTTGAGCTACAGTGAAAAATAGTAACCAACAAAGAAAAACAAAAAGTGGAACCACTCACTGCTGAATCCCTATGTTTTCTTTACATAAACTTGTAATTTGGCATGAAACAAAAACTGTGGATGGACTTTGTCTCACATTATACATTTAAGGGAATTAGAAACAATTGTTTTAATGCCCAGTATGAGCAGCAAAGGAAACCTGTTTGAGTGTTCATACTGGGGCCTGACAACTATTTTAAAACAGACTTATCTACGTTTTAAATAATGGAAACTATTTCCTAACTGCACAGGCATCTGAAGGTTAAGTGATGTAAATCCACTTGTCTGCACACTGTTGCACTGTTGCAATCGCACTTCAAGGTGATAAAGTGGGTTTATTTTTAAGCATCATATCATTGTTGCTAACTTTAAGATGCACTTTGATTCATCCATTTTCTACACAGTGTTCAAATTCACATGAGGTGACAGTAAAGCCATTTGCAGAAATGTTGTCATTTATTGCACAATATCCAAAACTGGCATATGCAGAATTTTGTGGAAAAGCAGCTTCAGAGAGTTTATAAACATTCAAACACTAAAGGAAATGTTGTATCACATATGTTCATACCAGAGAATATACATCATAGAGTCAGTGTTACTGGAAGCCAGCATACACACTTATCACACTGTTCTGTGAGAAATACTATTTGACAGAAACAAGGTTGTTTCCTTTGAAAAGGCCAGCAGCAGGTCACAGAGGAAGCCTTTAACCACCAGTTTCCTGTCACTGAGGCAACACTGTTTCACAAGCCACAAGGCTGCAGCTCTGAAAATAAACCGTCTGTGCCTGTGTGGTGTTTGTGTCTGTCTAAAATGATTGTTTTCTTAATACACAGACAATTCCCATCACATTTATTGACACATTCGTCCGTTTTTACATTCTGCTTTTAAACAATAATCAAAACATTAGGATAAGGACAATAAAAAAAGAACTTTAGCAGAAAATCTACAGCCGGTTGTCAATTTCCTTTGTTATGACAAGAACACGCCCTTACCGCTCTCTGATTGGTTGTCCGGTGCTCTAGTGCCCGCGTTCTCCATTCCCATTGGTTGAGTTAAAGATCCATCAAAGCGGGAGCGCCCCCTTGTCTGTCAATGAAAAGTGAACGGGACCTCCGGTGTGAAAGTCGCATCAAGCTGAAAGCAGAGCGCGAGGATTTGCCCGGAAGTAATGCAATATTGTTGTCACAATAAAAGGAGAAAAATGACTTCTACACTGTTCTTGTAGGGTCCACTGAGCATTTTATTTCAGCACCAGCTTTTCTGTGGGTCAGACTTTTTACAGTGTAATTTGAATCTTGTCTGACATAGTCTACAAGTGCATGCTCCAATTTTAGTTTTTGATACTGGCAGTAAGCAAATCATCAAGGTCTGATTTGGTGTTTTCGAAGGTTTAATCTCATGGTCTTTACCCAGTGTTCTTTCACAACTGAGCCAAGAGTGTAGTGCATATGAACGGTAGGTCCTACCAATAGTTTGGGAGAACAGAAATGTCCCTACTAATACTATAAAACCTGTGCACTTTTTTAAATTAAAATGAGCCATCCTCTGCTCTCTGCTCCAGACATATAGTATCGGTCTTGATGTGCAGCTGACTTTGAGACAGCTGCACAGGGGCCATGTACAAAGTGCAACACTGAAAAGAGATACTGTAGGCCTGCTACAAATAAATCACTTTACTCTTACCCAGTGTAGTGTTACCAAAATTATTTCACACATCAATGGATGTCTGCTGATTAAACTACAACTCTTTATTAGGAAAAATGTTTTTTCATAATTTGGGGGAATTTTTATTGGAAAAAATATTCAATAATTTTACTCATATACTGTAGAATCACCAAAATCACTTCACACATTAATGGCCATCTGCTGATTGTACTACCACACTTGTACCGAAATCACTCATCATTTTGAATAGGCTGGAAACAGATGCATGTAAATGATCAACCAATGTTGAGACCAAACCTTTGTTCTTGAACTGGGCAGTGGTGGAAGAACTAGGGTGACTCAGATTGTTCACTCAGGAGCAATACCACAGTGTAAAACACTCTGTTACTAGTAAAAGCCCTGCATTCAAAATGCTACTTAAGTAAATGTACAAATGTGTTGGCACACTTAAAGTACCAAAGGTAAAAGTACTCATACTGTAGAATGGCACATTTCACATTAATGTACCTATATCATATTAGGGTCTATAGGAGTTCAGTTGTTGCGGTATTGTGTAGCCTGTGTAGCCTAAATGTAGTGTAATGTAGCGAGTAAAGTAGCCTACACATCTCAATACTGTACCTAAGTAGCCTACTGTGCTCGAGTAAAGGTCTTGAGGAGGTGACTTTTACTTAGGGGGAGTGACTGTGGTTCAGTGGGTAGAGCGGTCATCTCCCAACCGGAGGGTTGGGGGTTCAAATCACAGTGCCTGCAGTACAAATGTCAAAGTGTCCTTGGCCAAAACACTGAGACCCCAAGTTGCCCCCGATGGTGAGAGCCATCGGTTGAGTTGACACCATGGATGGTTACCTCGGTTCTGTACCAGAAACAAATCCCTTGTGTTTAACTTGCTTAGCCAAATAAAGCCTACTTTTCACTTCTGCCAACTCCATCTACTGAGAGAGAATTCCAGACTGTTCATAGCAAAGCATAAAGCAAAAATGCTCTCAGTTTCATGTTTAAAGTTTTTGTTGTTGTTGTTGTTGAAGTAGCCAACATGAACTATGCACGGATACTGGTTTTATTTCGAATCCTTGACCGGAAATCCTGTACTTGATTCTGGGGAACTTGACACTGGTGTGGCGCAGGACCTCCGAAGAAAAGGCAGGGCGTGTATCGGCGTGTTTTACTTTTTTGCTCTGTTTTCTATCGGTTTTTGTTTTTGACAGCTGTTTCGGGAGACGCTGCTCTGTCGCCTTGGTCTATACCGAGAAAGCTTCACGCTGACACACACAAAAATGGAGATAGAGAAGGAAATGAAGAAGGTGAGCTTTACTCCCAGTGTACTCGGTATGTGAACACTGGGAACGCCCTGAAAAGGTGTGACGAGCACAGGGCAGGTGGCGAGAAAGGTTACAGTGTTAAACATAGAACTTTTGTTTGTTTGTCGCATTTTATTTCGAAAGTGTGACTTTTTTTGCGTTTTAATTGACAAAAGTGGAATTACTTAAGAACAAAAGGTGTTTAGGTGCCAAAGACTATGCTCCTGTCTGAAAACTTCCAGACGAACTTCCTTTGAAATATACAATATAGTGTCACCAGGCATGACAACCAGCTCTAAAACCGAAACAATTGAAACTGTTGCAAAACTCGGCATAGATATTATGCATTTTGAGGGCGGAAATCACCGTGACACTAAAATGTAAAGGGGTTGTAAATGTTGTTTTACTTTTTAAATTACACACCAGTTGAATTGTAGAGCTCTCAGTAGTCCTGCATTCCGTTTTGTGTACCTTGGCTCTTAAGCGAGAGGAAACTATTAAATTAGGGAAGTTTTTAATGGCAAAGTTATCTGGACGTTAAGAGGTTGTGTGAAACTGTCTCAGTAAAGGAATCTAATTATAATATACAGTTTGTACAATGGATATTCATCCAGTTTGGATCATAGAATTTATTTTAGAAAGATTCCACTGGATTTCTTGCATTCATTGGATCCCTTCTGCTTAGTCTTCCTATGACATACACCAATAGCAGTAACAGTATACCATGTACTGTACATTTTGCATCTGCCTGTTAGCATATTAACATCCCAAACTGCTGAGTAGATGAAGAAATAACAGGTTGTTGAAACTGTTTATGTGCATTATACACTACAGTAATGTATAGCCCAATCTTATAATCAGTAGTTGAATCTATGCAGGGAGACTGGGGGCTCTTTACTGGGGTCATGGGCCCCCAGGTGTTGCTGTTGATTTGTGATGTTAACACAGGCGGCCTGAGGGAACCTTGCATAGACCTGCAGACAGCTGGCAGCAGTGGCAGGGCAGCACACATGACTGCAGGGGGAGACTGTTGTTAGTGTGATGGAATGTGTGATGTAAAGCTGCAGCATCAGTCACTCATTAGTTACATCAGTACTGTACTGTGGTCTGCATGTATCAGCTAGAACCAACCAAACAGCGGTTCTTGCCTTACATGCAACTGTCAGTTAAAATTAGATAAAGCATTAGATAAAGATGTTCACATTACATGTATGGCATGAAACTAATGGATAGTTTACTATCCACCTTGTGCGCTAACACTGTTTGAATGGGCCAGGACTGTTGTCTGCCACAGTGAAGGGATTTGTCATCCTGTAACAGCTAAAACCAATCATGTTGCGAGTGGCATTTTCCTGCAGATCCATTTGCTTGTTGCTGGCACTAAATTAAGCATTTTAGCTCTAGTATAGCACAAAATAAACACCATTTATATACTGTAAGCTGCTGCTGGAAAGTGGGTCTGAGCAGCTGCGTGACCCAGATGCCCCCCCCGGTGGAGATTGGTCTGCTGTGTCTGCAGGTCGGTCTTATAACAGTGAAGCTGTAACTGCACATTATAAAAAGCAGATGTGTTTAGGTAATATTATGCTCAGTTAAACTTGCTCAGTCTTCCAGCTGAGGTAATAAGATGTGACTATGAGACTGGGAAGCCATGTTCACTAAACAGTTTAACTTGTTTCTGATGGTCTATATATAAGGTGTGACTTCACTGGCTGGCATGTTCCTCTCTAAACACCTAAGTGGTTCGTGGAAAAAAGGAGCACAAGTGACATAATCCTCTGAAGATTTGTCTCTTTAGAGATTTTTGTGTTACATAATGGAAAGCAGTCAAGTCAGTGACACATTGGACAAATCAAATATCAAAATAAAAACAGTTTCCAAAACAGCAGCAAAGAGGCTGAACTAAACAGTTATTTCTGATAACATTAGCTATTTGAATAGGTGACAGATGGAAGGAAAACCCAGGATGACAGCACCCCCATCCACTGGGCATGAGGGGTCACCGAGTGTTAGATGAGCAATGATGTGAATCAGATGCTGTGGCCTTCCCAGTCACCAGGTCTCAGCCCAGTTGAACAGCTATGGGAGATATTGGAGCGATGTGTTAGACAGCGTCTCCATCACCATCATCAAAACACCACATGAGGGAACATCTGTTGGAAGAACAGTGTTCATACCTCCAGGAGAGTCAGTGTCAAGGTGAAGTGAAGCTGTTGTCCTGAAGTTAGGTTGGTTTTCCCCATCATTTGTCACCCAACTTTATATCGCCTTATCTCAACCCCACCCAGATACATAAAAGGTTATAATCTGAGGAGGAGCATGTGTTTATTGCACAATAATATAGTGAAATGGAACCAAACCCAAGCAGCTGCTACAGTGTGAAGCAGGAAAGTGCCTCTTTCTACATTGAGAAACTGGCTGGAGAAATAAATTCTGCTTCCTTCTCTCTTACACACTGTTGTGTCCTGCTACCAATTGCAGATATTTTGCTGCACTACAATATACAGTACCTACCAGTATAATACTGTAGATGTACAGTAAGACATCTTAAATAACTTTTTTAAGATTAAAAATGCATGTTTGGGTTGGTGTCTTAGAAACGACGTTATGGTCTGAGAGCAGGTGGCCTGCTGACGTGGCTCCATAGCCAGTGGCTTTCCTTCCTTTCAGCTGCCACCTGGCCGCAGCTCACCCCACAACATGACTCATGAATGTGACTCATCCAGTCTGAACTGTATACTTTGTGTCTGAGCAGCCTCTGTGTGGAGTGATGTCGCCCGAAGTCAGCACCCTGCAGGCTTAGTCATAATACAGTCACTAATCGACTTCAGCTGCTAATAACTGTGTCAGTCTCATGCTTTCTAACGGGCCTCAAGGTAGGAAAATCTAAAATGAGCCACCGTCTGAGCATTCCTCAGTAGTGAGTATCTGTTGGACCAAAGACGTCTGACAACAGGGTTTCCTCTTGGCGCCCACAGGATTTTCAACATCATTGAATAGTTGACCATATATGGACATAAACGGTGGTAATGGCTTGATGTGGACATGGGCATTGTTTGACAGCAAAGGCCGGGAAAAGGATGCAGATGTTCAGGAGAGAAGAGCAACAGTGTCCCTAGAGTCATAATGCTGTCTTAGAGGGACCGTTGGGTTCTTGTACACCTTCCTAACACCTAACCCTACCCGGAGAGAACCCAAGCAGGCACAGGGAGAACATGCAGACCCCACACAGAAAGGCCCCAGGTCGGCTGGGGCTCCAACCCAGAACTTTCTTGTTGTGAGGCAACAGTGCTCCAAAGGAAAAGAAAAAAAAAAATTAGAATTTATTTTGCAGTATTCATAAGCTTATTTTTCCCCCAGTTGCGTGGTGCATCCCTGAGGAAGCTCAGCATTTCCGTTCAGTGGTTAACCAGTCAAAGCAAAACCGTGATAGCACTTGTAATCTCCTGCTTTGTTTACAGATGACCCTGGGCCACGAGTTTGGCGCTGGAGCAGCTTGTCTGAAATGCAAGGACAAGTGTGAAGGCTTCGAACTGCATTTCTGGAGGTTTGTATATTTTCTGTCTATACAGACAAGTTTGACAGTAGATATTCATTTTCAAGCCCTTTGCATCATGTGTCTGAGGGATAAACAGCAAGGATTGTTTGAGTAAAAACACAGTGGTGTTATTGGGCAGCTGCCATAGTGCAGGATTATAAAAAACTTTATTCATGGACCCAGTCTTGTCAGTAACATCACTTTCACTTTACTTTCACATACATTTCAGTGTTGACACTGCTGTTTAAAACATGCACAGTGTGCAGGCAGTCCTGACTACCGAGGCTTCCCTGTCCTGCTCACTGCCTGTCACACTATGTGTGTTTATTTGGACAGTGACTAGTAAAATGCTTACTTCGTCTGGAGTTATCCACATGACTAGTTCTCCTGAAGGCAGCACCAGGTGCCCTGATGCCCACCACAGCTACAGGACAAAGGCTCACCACCAGTCTGTGGTGGCGGTCAGACATTTTAAGTGTCTGATAAGTAGCCAGGAGTGTTGTGTTGTTACAGACAGTAGCCTTACTCACTATGCCATGCTAGATCTGTAGGGCCCTGCAGTATTTGACTGTCTTTCATGTCCAATAATATGACCAGAATGAAAGATAAGGCTTTAGTGTAAGAATTAGTCTTCATCAGTTGTTAGGGAATCTGTTGTAGAGAGTGATCTTTTTACATTAACAGTATCTCACTTGCACTTTATGTAGCCAAGTGTTTTTCCTCATGAATACCAAAGAGAAAGTCATCCATTGTATTCCATGTTCCGCAGGACATTTCTGGACTAGAAATGTTGTCATTGCTCTTTGTTCTGACCTGTAAAAATTAAGCAGGAGTTCCAGAGCTTGACACTGCTGAGAATACTATTCCCCATCATGCCAGAAATCTGTGGGCCTGGACATGCTGAAGCAGACCTACCAGTCATAAATTATAACATAGTTGCTCTACAAATATGAAGCGAGTTGTGACAAGTGTAGGTATTTGAATTTAACACTGGGTTTGTTGTGTTAGTAAACTACTGTAGCAGAGTTGTAGCACTTTATAACTAGAAAAGTCCCAAAAGAAAAACACGGTGGTTTAAGCTACAGTAGAATACATTTCCAAAGCCACATGTATGGATGTAACATCAAGAATAGACAAAAAAACAAAAATTCTATTTCACACTTTTAAAACCTAATTTTATTTAGCTGATTATTCTATTACTTCTGCTTGCTTGTTTCTGGGTTCATGTTCTTTTGTCCTCAATAAATCAATATATTACTTTAAGTATTCACATATATTCATGTAAAATGATCTTTCCACTCTCATACTAAACTTAAAAACATGTTACGACTAGGAAAGTCCATGTCCTACACGGTTCCTGTCTTCCTCTACAGAAAAATCTGCCGAAACTGTAAATGTGGCCTCACAGAACATGATGTGGCGATGAACTCGGAGGAGGACAAGAAGGTTGGCAAGCTGTTCGAGGACACTAAATACACACGCCTCATTGCCAAGCTGAAGACCGACGGCATCCCCAGCTACCATGGCAGCATGGTGACCATCACTCTGCCCAGCCCTGCCACTGCTTACATACTTCCACCCAGTGCCTCCTCCACAGTGGTGCCCCCCTCTGCCACAGCTGATTCTGTACAGCCCCCTGGAGCCTCTACAGGTTCGACGCCTGGCAATGCTCGGCCGCAGCCTCAGGTTCATCCTGTACCAGCCAGTGTCGCACCTGTCAAGGCTAACAAAGTGCCAGTCCCTGTCAGCGCCACATCAGCCAACTTGGTGCCAGTCCCCAAAGATGTGCCACTGAAGTCTGTCACTTATGAGTGGGCACCACCAGTAGCCAATAAGCATTTGGTAAGGAAACAGTTTTTTTTCCATCTGAAGTTTACAAGGTTCGTTTTCCCTAGTCTGTTTGGTCTATTGCTGCATCCGTAGGAGCCGTGTTTTGCCTTAATGTCTCTCTCTGTACTCCTCTAATCTCTGTCCTTTCTTTATCCTGTCTGAGCTAAACAGTTCCTTCTGATTTTTCTTGTGCCTTCCAGGCAGTGCGTTACATTGAGCTGCTCCCACCAGAGAAGCGTCCAGTCACTGGTACAGAGGGAGCTGCTTACCGACGGCAGCAGATGGCCCGTCAGCTGCCTGAGCATGACCAGGACCCATCCAAGTGCCATGAGCTGAACCCTGATGAGGTCAAACAAATGCAGCAATATGTACGCAGGTACAAGGACGAGGCCCTGGGGGTCGGAGATGTTATGCTGCCTGAAGAGATGGCTCTTGTCCAAGCAGGTGGGCAGGGTGGACCCGGTGGGGTTGGAGTTCCGCCTGGTGCAGGAGGGGCAGGTTTTGGACCAGGGGTTGAAACACCTGGAGTTGGGGCTGGAGGGGCTGGAGGGGCTGGGCTTAGACCAGGAGCTGGGGTTGCTGGAGCTGGTGCTGGACCAGGAGCTACAGGCCCTGGTGCTGGGCCTATGGATGGGGCAAGAGTCGGTGCTGGCTTTGGGCCTAGAGCAGGGGGCAGTGGAGCTGGAGCTGGTGGTGCTGCATCACTTTCAGGGCCTGGGACTGGACCATCTGCTGGCTTTGGGCCTCCTGGAGGAGCCGTGGGTACTGCTGCCACTGCTGGAGCCATGGGTGTCCCTGGAGCTCAGCCAGCAGGACTAACTCAACAGAACTTTGTAAGACAATGTTTATTTACCTGTCTATTTATCATCGATCACGCCCTGATTTTCTACATGGGCGTCCAGGCTAGACGAATCAGTTAAGACTTTTTATCATAGTATTAAAAAGCATATTTTCTTACATTTATAAAGCCACTGTAGTATCAAGTGCTGGTATTAAATTAAATGGTATTTGTAAATATTTTTTTATGTAAGGAACAAAATGTGGTGGAAAAGTATAATATAGTGTGTATTACTCAATGACAATACATAGTACGGGTGCAGTAGTGTGTTGTAGCTGCAGTGTAGTAGATAGCAGGGTGAAATCGTTGAGGTACATCCTCCCTCATTGAGGAAACCCAGGCTCAGGCTCCCAGAGGAGGCACCAAGACTGCTGAAGTGTCCTTGAAGAAACCCGTTGTAGGCTGTAGGCAACATTTTGCACCAACAGGGTACATACAGTATTTTGTGTTTCCATAATCTGCACCAGTGTCTTAGTTTTGATGGTTGCTGTTGCACCACACACTGACATGATAACGATAGCTGCAGTATCCTGTGGATAATAGTTATGCGTGGAACCAGGACGATCATCAGATGTCCTGGCCTACGTTGTGAGCCCGTAAATTAAGATATGAAGTTTACTTGTAACCTGGGAACCACATTTGTTAATTATTATTCCCTCTTACATTATACCAGTTAATCGTGTGAGTGGTTACTTTAAGAGAAATGCATGTGTATGTGATGCATGTACAACCTGACTACTGTAAGTAGATCTACCCACAATGCATCACTGCTAGTAATAATTGCAAAAAGCCATTGCTCCTTGACAGGACAGTAGATGGAGCCGTAAGACCAACCCTGACCTAGCCGTCCTATTCAGGATGATAATGATTTAAATACTGTCTAAGTCACAGTTGGTTATGAGGGGGCGGTTCGGTGTTTAAGGCTTCATCTCCATGTGTGGATAGTTAATTCTTGCTGTGTGGCGTCTTATGATTTATTTTTGGTCTTAGTTCTACTGTGACCTGTTACGAAATGTTTTGCAAGAGTGGTAGTGTAGAAACAAGACAAGAAATCAGCATGTATTTGCAGTTTTTTTTTCAGCATTTTTCTCAGTTTTGCCATCTCCTTTCTCCTCTGCTACAAGCTCCTTGTCTTTTTCATGTTCTTAGTTGTTTTTTGTTCTTTTCCTCACTCTTCTAGCTTCATTCTCCCTCTTAATTCTTAAGTCAGGGAATGACTTCACAACTTTTTTTTTTTTATTTACTGATCACTACCTTTACCCAAACTCCACCAGCTGTCGTGTCATTGTAATTAAATACGCCGAGGTCAAGTCACAGTGGCTGCACCTCTGTGTTAAAGGGGAATTCAGTAAAATCTGTCATTCGCCGCATTTCAGGAACTGCTCAAACTGGAAATGGACTTTGTGTAAATCTGCTAAAAAAGATGAAGTAAAATAATTCTTTGTTATTACCAAAATGGCTGAAAAATATTTTTGCCAACTGAGCTTTCTAGCAATTTTGTTTTACACACCTTGTCCCCTTGAGATCTGGGAACTAACGCTGGGTGGTTTTCACTTTTTGATGTCTTAAGTGATTCATTGAAACATCCTCAGATAAGATAATAAAAATTATCACTGGCAGCCAAACAAGAAACAAAACTGAGTTGGGAAATTATTATATTTTATATCATGTGTTTGTAATAGAACAGTTATAGAAAAAAAAAAGTCGCAAATCCACTAACGTGCAAACCGTCTTCTTTATTTGTGTCCTTCCCAGTTCTGCCATCACTGCCAGCAGCCCATGCGTCTGGGCGAGCCGGCCGTCTATGCTGAGCGGGCTGGCTACGACAGACTGTGGCACCCAGCATGCTTTGTGTGCTGCACCTGTAACGAATTGCTGGTAGACATGATCTACTTCTGGAAAAAAGACAAGATGTACTGTGGACGCCACTATGGAGACAGTGAGAAGCCACGATGTGCAGGCTGTGACGAGGTGAGAAAGAGGATAGAGCAAAATGCTTCAGTGTGGCTTGTGATAGTTTTCCTCCATAGCTGCAAATTTGAAAGCACTTTTCATTCTACATTTGGATGCGTGTGTGTCTGCAGCTGATCTTCAGTAATGAGTACACTCAGGCTGAGGGCCAGAACTGGCACTTGAAACACTTCTGCTGTTTCGACTGCGACCGAATCCTTGCCGGAGAGACATATGTCATGGAGAATGAAAAACCTGTCTGCAAGCCCTGCTACATGAAGAACTATGCTGTGGTGAGAGAGACGTCCTTTCTCTAGCATTCTGTTTGTTTAACTGGTCTAGATTGTTTTATTTGTTTGCTGGAAGCTGTTAACTAAACCACAGTTCAGATCACTGAGTTAGAACCTTAACCCCATTAATGCAAGTCCTGTTTGGACCTAAAAGAAATGTGTTTAAAATGGCTCTTAATAATAAAATGTTGTCATCATGTGCAGGATTTGAAATATGAGTTTAGCAGCCAATACTAATTGATTATATCACTGTCCAGTGAAGGCTGCACAAGGGTGGGACTGCCAGAAATACACGAGTCATCAACAGCGCACTAGCTGTTAATAACAAGATTGTTACTTAAGTTTTTATTTTTAGACTAAATGATAAAAGAAATATTTATAATAACCTTGACAGTGTAAGTGTCTAAATGTGTGACTGTAGTGCTGACAACAACTGCTAATTCACATGGCACGGTAGCTCTCCCTCATAGGGAGATCCCCTCTTGTCACAGGGTATCGCACGCCAGAAAGTTTGATGTGAAAGTGTCTCACGCAGGTTGAACAAGTTACTGGTGTACAACTGAAATAAGACGAAGGTTGTACATGAGCACTGGCCACCCAAAACCAAGAATGTGAAGCTGTCAGCTTGTGTTCACATTGATTTATCCAACATAATCCCTCGCAAAGCCAGTGTTTGTACTGTATGTACTTCTGACTGTGCCACTGTAAAGTTAAGATCTATCTGCTTCTTTAGGTGTTTAAAAGGTAGGGATTCCACTGTGTTACTGGGTAATTGTTAGCTGGTCAATACAAAATAGCTGGAATAACTATTAAAGTTAAAAAGGTATGTTAAAAAAAAAAAAAACAGCTGTGTGACTTGACTTCATTATGTCCTTCCTTATCCCAGAAATGCTCAGCTTGCCAGAATGTGGTGGAGCCCGAGGCCCAGAGGGTGTCATACGGCGAGCACCACTGGCACGCCGAGCCACAGTGCTTCAAGTGCTCCGGCTGCGCCAAGTGCCTGATGGGCCAGCGATTCATGGCACTGCAGGGCTACCTCTTCTGCTCAGTGGAGTGCAAGAAGAAAACTATAGCTTAGACGTCCAAAACGGCACCCTCCGCCTCCTCCGCAACCACTTGTGAAACCAAGATGGGTTCAGCTAAAACTAGACCCTGAGCAGGGAAAACAAACACTGTTGCAGCTGCAGGTGTGTTAACAGGGGATAGAGTGCCTGGTCCCACTAATTTTTACATTTAAAACACCTAATAGAGAGTCCAGTTCCATTGGGTCCTCATTCCTCTTTAGAAGAGCACCAATAAATCTGTCTCGACTAGGGTGACTCCTAAACTTCTGTCCTTCTACTGTCCAGTTAATCCTCTGCCTTAAAATCAGTAATTTCCTATAAAACAAGTAAGCTTTTGTTGTTGCTGTTTTCTTACTGCTGAGTTTAATTTGGTCAGAGGTGTTAAACCTGTGTTTGGTAATAGTATTGGCACTGTTCTACTCCTAAAGGACAAGCTGTCTAATTTATTGTGCCACACTTTATGCTTTTTTTTTTCCACACAAGAAGTTACTGCTATTCTATGTGGCAACATGATGAGCAATATTAGCTGGGTTTGGGGTTGATTTGCTTCCAGTGCACTGTATTCCAGATCAGAGTGAAATCAAGCAGCATTCCTACATTTTTCCTAGAGTTTGATGGGAATAAACAGTGGACACCACTAGTTACCAGCCAGTGTGATACACCACCACAAACTGTGGCTGTCAGAACAATAGCCCTACAAGTAAGTGGTGTTTATATAGATAAGCAAATGATGTGTTTCTAATTTAATCCATCTGTGTAAGTTACTGTGCAAAAAGACTAGAATGTCAGATTGCATTAGCTTTTATCTGATGAATGGTAAAACTGTGTTATGCAGCTCAATCCAGTGCAGTAACATTGCAAACTGTACCGTTATAAACACCTGGCCAGTACAGTCTTAACGTGATTTTCAGCTACTGTATTAGATTGCATTTATTTCTAAAGTGACATAAAGGTGTAGGATCTCCATTAGCTTTCACAAAGTGGTGTTTAGTTTTCAGTCCATTTAATACTTGGGTTTAAACAAACAATGATTCTGTGCAAAATGAAAATGTATTAATTATAAATGAAAGGAAAAAAGATAAACAAACCGAACATAGATTACAGAAAATACTCAGGATTTTCCAGAAAAGTTAACACATGGAAATTAAGTTTTCATCTAAGTTTACATACTTTTGTCATCCACTGGGCCCCTGATGAATGTAAACACTGTAAAGTTGTCATATAGGAAGAACAGCAGGCTCGCCATGGACTTGATGAATTGAAGAGAAACACTGTAAGTTGTTACACATTTTGTAGCTGTGTTTTTGTTATTTTTGTGTTGTGTGCTTTCCCTGTTATACACTAAACTGTCTGCCCCAGTAATTTGAGTAATCAGCTCAGTGCAGCTGTTCTTTTCACTCATTAGCTGATTAAAGCCCCCATGCAGCCTTTGTCCACCCACACAGGTGTTTTCACTCAAGACCTCTTCTCACAAGAGTGTGTGTACAGACAGCTTGACTGACATCCCTCACTCACTAACTCACTCCGTTAGTTTTGTTGCAGACAGAACTTACTTCCTGGTCTAATCGGCCCTTCATGCTTGATGTAGCCAATGAGGATGTAGTTAGCTGCTAGTGATGTGGCAGCACAGCTGGTCACATGCACCGCAACATCTAGAGTCATGCAAAAAAACCATGAAAGAGTTGACCCCGTTTAGAGGCCTTTTTTAACAACAGACAGTTTGACTTTGAAATAATGCCATTAATGAAACCTTATTCCATTAAAGGTCCCAGTTAAAATGGCCTCGCTCATTGGGAATGTATAGCATCATTAATGCTATGAATTACACCTGTGCTTTTCCTGCTATGACATGTCTTCTGTCAAAAGGGTCTTTTGGTGCAGTTAATGTGAAGATGTCATTAAATTCATGTCATGCTTCAACCTGAGCAGAGGTCTTATGAGTGTAACTGAAAGCACCTGTGTGCAGGGCCTTTGCATCTGCTCATTAAAATATACAGGCTGTCACAGTTGTATAGTTTTCCACAGCTCTTAAAGTTGTACCCAAAGATGCTAAGCATCAACCAGATACTTCCCTGTATTTTATGTCCTGTAGCTGAAGCACTTTCTCATCAGAACATTGGTTTACCTTTAGCTCAAAATCACTTAGGCTCCCAGAGGATCTGTGTTGTTCTCTCTTGCATATCAGTTGTTACACTCTGCAACAGGCTGGACGTGATGGAAAAAGCAACTCTGATGTTATGTTTTCATTCACTAAGTGGAAACTGTGCACAATTCAAGGAAGCTCCATCTCTGAGAACCCCCATTGTCCTAAATGGCACTTAGCCCAAAGCTGGGCTGCTATTTCCCCTCTTTCAACCACAGACCCGCCAGACCTGATGTGACCAAATTGCCTAGCCAGCTTCAGGATCACCAAGTTGTGACCTCTTTCCCACATCCTCCTGTGTCCCTTCTCTAATTTTCTTGTGTCAGAAAGTCCCCTCTTTTCTAGTTTCTCTATCACAGAACACTTTTAGCTTTAGACTTGCAGCGTTGATCTAAGAATGAAATCTTGCCTAAGAAAAGAGTTGAATACAAACAGGGTGAAACCTTGAGCGGTGGGGCCTTCTTCCTGTACAACTGTGTGCCTGTTGGAATTTGCATGCAATTTGTTTCATGCTTGAATTTGCACCGTGCTGCAGTTTAACACAGCAAGTTGTATTGTAATTTTATTTCTCTCTAGAATTTGCATCATATTAAAAGTTTACTTGAATCTAGCCTTGACTCATCACACATGCCATGTAACCTGTTCTGGCCTCCAGATCCATGTTTGCTTATGGCGAAATGGAACTGAGATGCTTAATTGTGGATTTACTTGTATTTTATCTCATCAATACCAAATGGTAATTAATGGTTCTGGTTCCGCAGAAGGATCTGGATGCTCATATGGAGCAGAGCATTAATTAACAGGCCTAAATGGCAGACAAGATCAGTGTCTTCTGTAGCTTCCTCATGGACTTAAACATGGGTACGGCACCTGGTACTACAGTACATCTGGTAAACGTCACCCACCTTGCACTGCTTGAGTGCAGCTTAATGCCAAATTCCACAATGAGTTTTGAGTTCCAGTTGTTTTTTGTCTTTAATTTCAGGGAAGCTAGATCATGAGCTGAAGGAGTGATTTGCTTTTGGTGCAGAGAGTGCCACCATGTGGTTATTTTAGTATCTCACCCAGTTTTAACAAATGTAGAAATGTGTTTTCTAAAGCAAATCTAGGTGCAGATTTCTTTTTTAAATCGTGTTTAATTTTGAAGATTGTATGTCCTCAAGGATGCACAATTTGTTCTCTTAAGCCTTTATAGTTTATAACAGAGAACTCAAGCTTTGCCTCTTTTAACATCTGTGTCAATGTAGTGACAAATATACCACTGTTGTTGCCCAAAAAATTGTATTTCAAATTGTAGTCTCATTACTGCTCAGTGAGACCAGAGGGTGGAAACGCCCACTGGTAGTTGATGGTCGGTGAGATCTGTAGTTGCACAGGGTGATTTTTCCCTCAAATGACCACAAGGCTCAACAATTCCTAACTCCAACACAAATAGGAGCTTTGTGCTTTTTTCAAACAGCATTTTTGGTGATTAGTTTGGAAAATGTACATCTGATTACCTACCCCACTTAAATGTAGTTCCATAAGCTTTTCCATGAGAATGTCTCCCACACAGTGGATGAGACATTCCAAAACAAGGCTAGGTGCAACCACCTGAAAATTAACTCCCATTCTGTTTTTGTTCTGGCTGCAAAGTCAAAATCTTTATATTGTTAACTTAAGACTATGCTTCAGATAATTGGAGGAACAAACAGTACACAGACAAAGAGTTGGTTAGTGTAATGATGGAAACAATCTGAGACAGTACAGTAGTTAAGGCATGCAAAGACTCAAGTGGAGAGGGATGTTTTTCATCACTGTGACTATAGCAGATCAGAGAAATGCTTATAACACCCTCCCAAATGTAGAGAATAGTGCACTTGAACACTGTTTACCTTCCTGAAGATGGGAAAGAAAGGTTAGGGAGAATGTACATCATCTCTAATGAAACACACTATAACTAAGATTTAAATCGTTCCGATTCTACAAATGACAGATTGAGATGGCAGCTTCAGTCTTTCTGATTAAGACATACACCCTGCTCTCACTTGTGAGGGTCCTTCATCCCACATTAAACACAGATGTGCTGTACAATGGAATCTTAAACCTTTGTCCCATGTGAAGACGAGCAGAAACATGAGCCACGGCAGGCATCTCAACACAGCTGGTAGAACTGCCAGCTCTCTGAAACAAAGATAACTCACCGCCCACATTCCTCCACAAAGGGGGAGGCAATGAGGAGCAATTCATTTTTATGGAATGTTTTTATGGAGGAGGCCTGGCATTGCAGACTATGATCCGGTCAACAGGAGTAATTATGTTCAGTGATTCAGTCAGACAAACTGTGTGCATGTGTGGCTCAAGCTGAGTCTTTTCCATCATATCACTGGGCACTCACCAGTCTTCTTTACCAGTTTAAGGGTCTTTTAACCTAAAAACTACTTGTCCCTACTCACTGATACAATGTAAATATGTCCAAAAATAGCTCCCCTATAGCAGCAGGCATATTGGACCTTCCTCACCATGGCTGAAATAAACTTAAGGAGCAGTTAGCGTTTCCCTTTGCTCTCGTTATAACTACTACATCTAGAATAAGCTATCTAAACCCTGTGATAGACTGGAGACCTGTCCAGGCTGTACACTGCCTCTGTCCTAGTGTCAGCTGGGATTGGCTCCAGCCCATGGAGGGATGATGGATGGATAGAGAAATTTAATACATGCAGATGCTTTCATATAAGGCAATAACCCCTCATGCTACTGAATGGTTTCATGAAATAACAAATCCTTTCCCCTGGCCTTCACATTCACCAGATCTCACCCTTATTGAAAAACAACATATCAGCTTTTGGAGCAATGTACCATACTGTCTCCATCATCAAAGCATCAAATGAGGAAATAGCTGCTGACAATTCCCTCCCTCCAGTAGATATTCAGAGAACTGGATAATCTATGTCAAGGAACAGTGAAGCTGTTACTTTACTATGTCCAGTATATTTGACAAAAGAACTGCCAGCCACAGTAAGACAGAGGAAGGTGGCCTGCACCTTCCTCTGTCTTTTATATGTACAGTAAGTGCACCCAGAGCCCTGCATTTACATCAGTTGTGATTTGACATAAGTTTGCTGCACAGCAACTACCGCAACTGGCTTTGAGAGCAGCTACTGCATTTGCTTGTTCCCCAGACATTCCAGAAAGAAGTCAGCTCAGGAATCTGTGGAGGATTGTTGAGTCTGTTCAGAGTTCTGACCATAATCCTGCCTGTTCAGCCAAAGTATTTTCTTCTACTGGTCGAGGGGTTTCATTCTATGGGTTCTGAGAACAAAACAAATATGGAGCTCGTAGCTCACATTTCAAAGTGCACTTGGCATCAACATTTAAAAGCTGACAAAATAAGCCCATGAGATAACTGGCACATCCAGTTTTTATAGCGATATCTCAGCTCATAAGAATTTACCCACTCCACTGAAAACTAATACAAATGGCATCACTAGACAGAGGTGACTCCACTGGAAACACTGGTCAGTATTTGTTAGCATTCATCAGCCAGTCAGCACCCTTGTTTGAAGAATCCAAACTGTACCGGTTGCCAGGAAGCTGATGTTGCCATAGCAGCTCAAACAGGCCCAGACATCCTGATTGTGTTTACCTCTGGAAGGCAGAGCAGTGCTTAGAGAACACTCAGTCAGCGAAGGATGGTATTTTCAATCCCCGCAGCAGCTATTGTCAAGTGAGTTTTATTTGTATATAATCAAAGACAGTGTTTCTTTGGGCCCACATGTTTCTACAGGTCCACATAAACAGTGGCCCCCAACACAGCTCAGATTCTGCAAAACAAGGAAACACTTCAGTTCATGGTAAACAAGATACACAACAGGATACTGTTTAAAAAGAATGACTCAGTACCTGTCAGCTACACTAATGCCATCACTCCGAGTCTCCTCTGTTACCAACAAGACCCTCAAGACCCCTACTGACCCCAAATGCTACATGTTAACTCCCTGATGTCACTGTGAAACAAGGCAATTGCAAAAAAAAGACAAATTACTCTTTACATTGTAGTGTGCATGTAAATTGTGACGTTCTAACATCTGTAAAACCTGAACAAAGCAAAGAAACAGGACACGCAGACAGGTCAAGGTAAAGAGACATCTGAGTGCAGGAGCAGCCTAGAATCTGTTGAACATCTGCAGGATAAACAACATGGTTCCGCACTCGGGCCAGAGGTTTTCTACCTTTTTGTATTCCCCCATAGATTTACAGTAACAATTTGTCTCTCCCCTTTTCATTCATCTGACAGTTTGCTTACTGGTGTTAATAGTCAGTGGAGTATTTGCAGGGTCACTGTCATGATTCTCATCTAGAAATGTTTGCAAATGAGCTTTACATTGTTGACAATGGACAGATCTCTTTATTGACCTAATCCTGCTTCATATTGACTTTGGGTTTCTCGGTTACTGTTTGCATTTCATGACAAGTTCACCAGTTAATGACTTTGTTGTACAGCTGGCAATGTTTGTTTCAATCCGATATACTGGCAGTTCTGCAGGCTGCTTTAGAGTCATCTGAAATATCTGCAGTGCTTTTATGTTATTTTGTTTTTTAAGTTTCAATGGTGCTTTGCTCTAAATGTTGAACTACACAGGGAGTCAAAGCTCTGATCATGACTTCAGAAGTCTGGCACTCCCTGATGTCTTATGTTGAGTAAAGACTATGTGACTACGACAGGTTGTAAAGGAGGGGATCACTGATACCGGAGAGAGCTGTCTGCTATGGTAGTGTTTGAGACAGACAGAAGAGTCGAACAGTACTGTGCATGCATAAATAAAGTTATATTGTACTCTATGAGTACACTGTACAGAGCATATTGAAATATTGTGTTCTCATAGCTTTTTCAACAGAATAGCATACAGACATACAACTAAAGTACTACTATTGCTATAGTGCAAACCCAAAATATTTACTGCATATTTGCATGACATCCGGATGTTGTCAAAAATAAGCCTGCACTGCTGGTATGTGCAAGTAATTCCACTATAAGACTACACTGTACAAACCACTGACGTAGAGGCTACAGCCAAACGTCTCATTACAAGTTTCCCTTTCCTACCATTGTCAACCACACTCTTCCTCTTTTCAGTGCTGAAAGCTGGAAAAAGCTGCAGCTGAATTCACACAGAAGTCATCAGTGCTCTACCAAGGTCACAACATGCAATGTTGATGGTGATACTGTATTAGAGGGCACACGCCAAAAGGACAGAAGGGCAGTTAAAAACTGTTTGACTGTAGAGTAGGTTATACAGTGTATCCATTCCCCCACTGGATGACCACTTTTACTTTGCTGGTAATTACTTTACCCATTGCTAATTAAAAAAAAAAAGCTAAAATGCTAAAGCATAAGACAGCTGGGGATGGAAGGGGTTACATTTGCTAGAAGGTGGTAGAATTGTAGCTGCAAGCAAAAACCAGACACAAGTCATAAGCGTTGGTTTTTGTACTTAAGGGCTATGCAGCCACACTAGTGTTTTCTGTTATTCTAGTTAAAACGACCTCAGTTCAAGTTGAAGTTAGGCAGACCTGTCCTGGCAATCACATGAGGTCAGCAAACTAAAAGGAATACGTGTCTTGCCTTAA